AAGTACCATTATTTTCATATAAATTTAAAAATGTTCAAATTTATAAGGTTTTAATAAAATCTTGTAATTTGAATATATTTTAAAGTGTATTGTTATAGAATTTATTATGAAAAATAGATAGTGTGTTGTCTTGAAATGCAAGTATTTGTAAAGTTGTTCAAATCTATTTTTATATTATTTCCTAGATGTGAGGAATTGTAAATCTTTAAACTAATAACATCCATATGATGTGGCTTACAATTGATGGTGAATTCTAGTTTGGTCCGTGCCAAAATTAACCTAGCCCGTTCCTTTTTTTACTTATAATAATACCTTAAATAAATCAGTTAGGTATTTAAGTGCAAAATCATACTCAAAAGTGACAATTGAGCTCATTTGGAAAGGCATGTTCAAAGGGATCATTTCAAAGATCATGAATCCCTGACTTTCAGAAATTATGGCTTTCTATGTCTATTTTGCCATCAATATCATCGAAATCTAGCCATATTTCTATTGAGCAGTCATTAAGTTCTATGATCAGGGTCAGCATCTACATGACAGGATTTTCGCTGGATGCAAACTCCCCTCAAAAATCTATATCTAACCCCCCCCCCCCACCCCTTATGCCATTATATATAACAATGTATTTTTATGTAAAATATTTCTTTTATCTTTATCCAAAAGGATTATTAACTTCTTGTCTTGTCCCCTAAAAAAATTTACAGGAAAAATGATTTTATTTAGAAAATACGTGATACGTTATATTAAGCGCCCTAAGTGTCATATATAACAGAGTTATATATACAACGGAGAAACGCTTGGTTCTCTCCTGAAAGCCCATCATATGGGATAAAAGATGGAAATAATTAAATAATTAGAGGACCATCCACTTTTTTGGGGCAGGGCGCCGTTACCTGTGCGCGCAAGAGGCAAAGCTACTTACTTAAACGCCCATGGGAAATAAGAGGAGAGGTAAAAAAACCCATGCTCGATTAAGCAAAAACTAAATTATGGTTTTACTTTTATTTAGCAGAGAAACCTGAAATAAACATATGATTAAATAAAATAAAAAATACCAGGCAATCACTTATCAATAAAACTTGTTCTATATTTACAACTTTGAAGATAATCAATAATTCATTCCATGTTCAATATCCATCATACCGGACTCTTTTTTCTATTTAGAAAATAGAAAATACTTGTTCGAAAAATGTATTTCAGAATTATAATATAGATGCTTCCTTTTATTAAAAAATTAATTTTAAAAATAAATGATGTAGTGTCTCTAAATACTTACCGATACCACATATTAATCTGTAAATAAATTATATTTAATAATCCTTTTTTGGTGGTATATGTATTCAATTATGAGATGTGCAATAGAAGGTTAAATTTAAAATTTTTTTTTATTTATATCACTTGAAAAGTATTAATATTTACTTGAAAAGATTGAGATAATTGTCAAATAAACAAAGTTTTTGAATTTCAACTGTAAGGATGATGAACATATTATCTTTCATAAATGTGAATCGCTCTTTCTAAGATTTTAGTGTTAAATGGGAGAAATATTCGATATTTGCCAAATCATAATATTATTTTGATAAAATCTGAATCAGCTCGTTTATAAAAATATGGCCTAATTAGGTCTTTTTAACAAACCTAGTGTAGTTTTTAAACAGTGACGAAGCGACAAGTTTACTACTAGAGATTTTTATATAGTTAAACCATAAAAAAAATTAAAATATATAAATAAGTATATTTCGTCTTTGTTTTTGAGTATTGCTAGATTTTAAATTTTTTAATAAGTTTTTTAAATCGAAATTAAAAATAGATTTAAAATTTAAAAAAAAATTGTTTTACATTAAGTTTATAATTTATTCATTAAAAGTTAGCAGAATATCTATAATATTTTACATTCTAAATAAATTTATTTGATTAAAATAAATTGTGCATAGTCATGGATGGCTAAGCAAGGATTTATAAATTCATTTGCATGATAAAAATATCCCTCACAATCTTGAATTGATATCTATAGATATATATATATACTAGTCTTAATATTTATATAATATATGTTAAAGATAAAAAAAAGTTTTTCTTTAAACCCCCTCTTTTATTATGTTAAAGATAAAAAAGTTTTTTTATCCCCCTCTTTTATTATGTGTAAGATGTAAAAGTTTTTTATCCCCTTCTTTTGTTTATGTTAAAATTAATTAAAGTTTTTTTTATCCATCTCCTTTGTGTACCATAAAATGAAAGTTAAAAAATGTTTTTCTTTTTTTTGGTAATTTTTGTTTTAAGTTAAACACAGTGAGATTAACACATATGGCTTTTGTGTTTTCTCTCACTTTACTGGATTTCTTACTTTAGGAGTCCTCAGTAAGGTGATCCGAAAATATGAGTTAGACCGTTGGGTCCGGGAGACCACCCTGCATCCCAAGGTATATTTTGAGTTTCGGGAAGTTTAGGGGGGTAGGTTTTATCCCCAATTATGTACGATAAAACTAACACAACTCGATTCCACAAAAACGTTCTTTTTTTCACTTTGCGCCAATTTAATTTTAATTTATAATTGCGCCTTTTATTTTCCCTATAAAAGGGACGAATTTTTTATAGTTTGGACTTGATTTTTTTCCTGTAAAATAATTTTGAAATTCTTTATTAATCTTTTTTATGTTTAAAAATAATTTTGGAATTTTTATTAATAAAATATCATGACCCGATCTCAAAGTACTTCATTGGCGCCTGGGGACTCAGACCGCTCAACATCAACGAATATTCGGCTTCGGAACCCTTGTGTAATTATTTACACCGGTTTCGTTTGCAAACAACGAATATATCCGATGATATAGAGAAAGGTATACTATTTCTAACTTACTGCGGACCAACATTATTTGCCAAATTAAAAAATACGTTCTACCCAGAGGCAGTAGAAACCCAAGGGTTTCTAAAAATTAATCAATCAATAGACAAATTCGCCGAACCGCCCAAACAAGCCCGCTACCGACTAAGGAATCGAATTCACCATCTCCACGAATCAATAACCCAATGAAGTACTTTGAGATCGGGTCATGATATTTTATTAATAAAAATTTCAAAATTATTTTTAAACATAAAAAAGATTAATAAAGAATTTCAAAATTATTTTACAGGAAAAAATCAAGTCCAAACTATAAAAAAATCAAGTCCAAACTATAAAAAATTCGTCCCTTTTATAGGGAAAATAAAAGGCGCAATTATAAATTAAAATTAAATTGGCGCAAAGTGAAAAAAAGAACGTTTTTGTGGAATCGAGTTGTGTTAGTTTTATCGTACATAATTGGGGATAAAACCTACCCCCCTAAACTTCCCGAAACTCAAAATATACCTTGGGATGCAGGGTGGTCTCCCGGACCCAACGGTCTAACTCATATTTTCGGATCACCTTACTGAGGACTCCTAAAGTAAGAAATCCAGTAAAGTGAGAGAAAACACAAAAGCCATATGTGTTAATCTCACTGTGTTTAACTTAAAACAAAAATTACCAAAAAAAAGAAAAACATTTTTTAACTTTCATTTTATGGTACACAAAGGAGATGGATAAAAAAAACTTTAATTAATTTTAACATAAACAAAAGAAGGGGATAAAAAACTTTTACATCTTACACATAATAAAAGAGGGGGATAAAAAAACTTTTTTATCTTTAACATAATAAAAGAGGGGTTTTAAAGAAAAACTTTTTTTTTATCTTTAACAATATATATTTATTTAAAATATATTATTTTTATTTTTTAGATAAAAAAGCGTTAAATACATGCTTAAAAGGTATCTATAAAAAGATACAGATACCTCTGAAATGATACAGATACTTTTTATATATCTCTGATAATAAATAAATTTTCAATAATATAATTAACATCATTGCTTTTAAAAGTGAAAAATTTTTTTATTAAAATTATTTTCTCTCCATTTATTGAAAAAAATAAATAATATTAAATTTCTATCTTATATCTATATTTTATAATAGTAAATTTTTTAACTTAGTAAAAATAATATTAATATTTTTTACGTATAAAAATTATGATTTTTATTAACGAAGTCAGTTTAGTTTTTTTTAACTTAATTTAAGAATTTTGTAGGAAAATGCTTCTATGGAAATTTCATTAGTGTTTTTGAATATACAGAAGTTTTTACAAAATGGAAAGTAAGTAGAGTTAAGGTTAGATTTAGTTATGGTTAGGGTATAGGATTAGGATTACGGCTAGGGTTAGGGTTAGAGTTAGTGCTAGGGTTAGGGTTAGGGTTAGCGTTAGGGTTAGGGTTAAGGTTAGGGTTAGAGTTAGGGTTAAGGTTATGGTTAGGGCTAGAGTTACGGTTAGGGCTAAGGTTAGGGTTAGCGTTAGGGTTAGGACTAGGGCTAGGGTTAAGGTTAGGTTTAGGGTTAGGATAAGGGCTAGGGTTAGGATTAGAGCTAGTATTAGGGATAGTGTTAGGGCTAGGTTTATTTTTGGGGTTAAGGCTAGGGTTAGGGCTAGGGTTTAGATGAGGTTAGGATTAGGTTTAGGGTTTGTGTTAGGGTTAGGGTTTAGGGTTTGGGTTAGAGATAGGGCTAGGGTTAGGGTTATATTTAGGGTTATATTAGGTTTAGGGTTAGGGTTTAGGTTAGGTTTAGGGTTAGGGTTAGGGTTTAGGGCTAGGGTTAGGGATATAGCTAGGATTATGGTTAGGGTTAAGATAAGGGTTAGGATTATGGTCATGGTTAGGTTTAAGGCTAGGGTTAGGGCTAGCGTTAGGGTTAGGTTTAGAGTTAAGGTTAGGGTTAGAGTTACGGTTAAGGTTAGTTTTAAGGTTAGTGTTAGGGTTAGGGTTAGAGCTAGAGTAAGGGTTAGAGCTAGAGTTAGGGTTAGAGGTAGGGTAAGAGCTCGGGCTAGGGTTAGGGTTAAGTTTATATTTAGGGTTAGGGTGTAGGTTAGCGTTTAGGTTAGGGTTTGGGCTAGAGTTACGGTTAGGGCTAGGGTTAGGGTTAGGGTTAGCGTTAGGGTTAGGGACTAGAGTTACGGTTAGGGCTAAGGTTAGGGTTAGCGTTAGGGTTAGGACTAGGGCTAGGGTTAAAATTAGGTTTAGGGTTAGGATAAGGGCTAGGGTTAGGATTAGAGCTAGTATTAGGGATAGTGTTAGGGCTAGGTTTATTTTTGGGGTTAAGGCTAGGGTTAGGGCTAGGGTTTAGATGAGGTTTAGGATTAGGTTTAGGGTTTGTGTTAGGGTTAGGGTTTAGGGTTTGGGTTAGAGATAGGGCTAGGGTTAGGGTTATATTTAGGGTTATATTAGGTTTAGGGTTAGGGTTTAGGTTAGGTTTAGGGTTAGGGTTAGGGTTAGGGTTAGCGTTAGGGTTAGGATTAGGGTTAAGGTTAGGGTTAGAGTTACGGTTAAGGTTAGTTTTAAGGTTAGTGTTAGGGTTAGGGTTAGAGCTAGAGTAAGGGTTAGAGCTAGAGTTAGGGTTAGAGCTAGAGTTAGGGTTAGAGGTAGGGTAAGAGCTCGGGCTAGGGTTAGGGTTAAGTTTATGTTTAGGGTTAGGGTGTAGGTTAGCGTTTAGGTTAGGGATTGGGTTAGGGCTAGGGCTAGAGTTAGAATTAGAGCTAGGGTTAGAGCTAGGATTAGAGCTAGGGTTAGTGTTAGGGCTAGGGTTAGAGTTAGGGTTAGAGTTAGGGTTAGGGTTAGGTTTAGGGTTAGGGCTAGGTTTATGGTTAGGGCTGGGGTTAGGGTTAGGGTTGGGGTTAGAATTAGGGCTAGCGTTAGGGTTAGGGTTTGGTTTAAGGCTAGGGCTAGGGTTAGAGTTAGGGTTAGGGTTAGGGTTAGTGTTAGGGTTAGGGTTTTGGTTAGGATTAGGGTTAAGGTTAGGCTTAGTTTTATGCTTAGTGTTAGTGTTAGGATAAAGGTTATGGCTAGAGTTTGGGTTAGGGTTAGAGCTAAGATTAGTGTTAGGGCTAAGGTTAACATTGGCGTTAGGGCTAGAGTTAAGGTTAGGGCTAGGGTTTAGATGAGGTTAAGGATTAGGGTTAGGGTTAGGGTTAAAGCTAGGGTTAAGGTTAGGTTTAGGTTTATGCTTAGGGTTAGGGTTAGGGTTAGGGTTAGGGCTTAGGTTAGGGATAGGGATAGGGATAGGGCTAGGATTATAGTTATGGTTAGGGTTAAGATAAGGGTTAGGATTATGGTCATGGTTAGGTTTAAGGCTAGGGTTAAGGTTAGTTTTATGGTTAGGGCTAAGGTTAGGGTTAGCGTTAGAGTTAGGGTTAGGATTAGGATTAGGATTGGAGCTAGTGTAAGAGCTCGGGCTAGGGTTAGGGTTTAGTTTATGTTTAGGGTTAGGGTTTAGGATAGGGTTAGGGTTAGGGTTAGGGCTATTATTAGGGTTAGGGCTAGGGTTAGAGCTGGGGTTAAGGTTAAGATTAGGGTTAGGGTTATGGTTAGGTTTAGGATTAGGTTTAAGGTTAGGGCTAGGTTTAGGGTTAGGGTTCTAGTTAGGGTTAAGATTAGGGTTAGGGTTAGGGTTAGGGTTAGGGTTACGGTTATGGTTAGGGTTAGGGTTAGAGTTAGGGTTAGGGTTAGGGTTAAGGTTAGGGTTAGGTTTAGGATTGGGGCTAGGGTTATGGTTAGGTTTAGGGTAAGGTTTAGGGTTAGGGTTATGGGTTAGGGTTATGGGTTACGGTTATGGGTTAGGGTTAGGGTTATGGGTTAGGATTAGGGTTCGGGTTAGGGTTAGGGTTAGGGCTAGGGTTAAGGTTAGGTTTAGGTTTATGCTTAGGGTTAGGGTTAGGGTTAGGGTTTGGGTTAGGGATAGGGCTAGGATTCGGGTTAAGATTAAGGTTAGGTTTAGGGTTAGGGTTAGGGTTAGGGTTTTGGTTAGGATTAGGGTTATGGCTAGAGTTAAGGTTAGTGTTAGGGCTAGAGTTTAGATGAGGTTTAGGGTTAGGGTTAGGGTTAGGGCTAGGGTTAAGGCTAGGTTTAGGTTTATGCTTAGGGTTAGTGTTAGGATAAAGGTTATGGCTAGAGTTAGGGTTAGGGTTAGAGATAGGATTAGTGTTAGGGCTAGGTTTAGAATTAGGGTTGCTAGGGTTTAGATGAAATTTCGATTTAGGTTTAGGGTTAGCGTTTGGGTTAGGAATTATAGTTAGGGTTAGGGATATGGCTAGAGATAAGGTTAGGGTTAAGTTTGGGGTTAGGGTTTATAGTTAAGGTTAGGGATAGGGCTAGAGATAAGGTTAGGGTTAAGTTTAGGGTTAGGGTTAGGGTTAGGGTCAGGGTTAGATCTAGTCTTTAGTTTAGGTTTAGTTATCGTATTTGGGTTATGGTTAGGTTTAGGATTTGGGTTTAGGGTTAGGGATAGGGATAAGGCTAGGGTTAAGTTTAGGGTTAGAGTTAGGGTTAGTGTTAAGATAAGGATTAGGGTTAGGGTCATGGTTAGGTTTAAGGCTAGGGTAATTTTTAGCGTTAGAATTATGGTTATAGTTAGGGTTAAGGTTAGGGTTAGGGTTAGAGCTAGATTTAGAGTTGGGTTATGTTTAGCATTAGGGTTAGGGTTATGATTTATATTAGAGTTAGAGTAAGAGCTCAGGCTAGCGTTAGGGTTAGAGTTAGTGTTAGTGTTAGAATTAGGGTTTTGGTTAGGATTAGGGTTAAGGTTAGGTTTAGGTTTATGCTTAGGGTTAGTGTTAGGATAAAGGTTATGGCTAGAGTTTGGGTTAGGGTTAGAGCTAGGATTAGTGTTAGGGCTAGGGTTAACATTAGGGTTAGGGCTAGAGTTAAGGTTAGGGCTAGGGCAAAGGTTTGGATGAGGTTTAGGATTAGGGTTATGGTTAGGGTTAGGGTTAGGGCATGGGTTAAGATTAGGTTTAGGTTTATTCTTAGGGTTAGTGTTAGGATAAAGGTTATGGCTAGAGATATTTTTAGAGCTAGGATTAGTGTTAGGGCTAGGTTTAGAATTAGGGCTAGGTTTAGGGTTAGGGTTAGGGTTAGGGTTATAGCTAGGGTTAAGGTTAAGATTAAGGCTACGCTATTGGTTAGGTTTAAGGTTAGGGGTAGGGTTAGGGATAGGGTTAGGGTTAGGGTTAGGGTTAGGGTTAGGGATAGGGATAGGGATAGGATTATGGTTAAGGTTAGGGTTAAGATAAGGGTTAGGATTATGGTCATGGTTAGGTTTAAGGCTAGGGTTAAGGTTAGTGTAATGGTTAGAGCTAAGGTTAGGGTTAGCGTTAGAGTTAGGGTTAGCATTAGGATTAGGATTGGAGCTAGTGTAAGAGCTCGGGCTAGGGTTAAGATTTAGTTTATGTTTAGGGTTATTTAGGTTAGGGTTTAGGTTAGGGTTAGGGCTAGTATTAGGGTTAGGGCTAGGGTTAGGTTTAGGATTAGGTTTAAGGGTAGGGCTAGGTTTAGGGTTTGGGTTAGGATGTGGGAAAGGGTTAGGGTTAGGGTTATAGTTAGGGTTAGGGTTAAGGTTAAGGTTTGGTTAAGGTTAGGGTTAGGGTTAGGATAGGAGCTAGGGTTATGGTTAGGTTGAGGGTTAGGTTTAGGGTTAGCGTTAGGGTTATGGGTTAGGGTTAGGGTTAGGGTTCGGGTTAGGGTTCAGGTTAAAGTTAAGGTTAGGTTTAGGGTTAGGGTTAGGGTTTTGGTTATGATTAGGGTTAGGGCTAGAGTTAAGGTTAGGGCTAGGGTTAAGGTTAGGTTTAGGTTTATGCTTAGCGTTAGGGTTAGGTTTAGGGTTAGGGTTTAGGTTAGGGATAGGGATAGGGCTAGGATTATGGTTATGGTTAGTGTTAAGATAAGGGTTAGGATTATGGTCATGGTTAGGTTTAAGGCTAGGGTTAAGGTTAGTGTTATGGTTAGAGCTAAGGTTAGGGTTAGCGTTAGAGTTAGGGTTAGGATTAGGATTAGGATTGGATCTAGTGTAAGAGCTCGGGCTAGGGTTAGGGTTTAGTTTATGTTTAGGGTTAGGGTTTAGATTAGGGTTAGGGTTAGGTTTAGGATTAGGATTAGGTTTAAGGTTAGGGCTAGGTTTAGGGTTAGGGTTATGGTTAGGGTTAAGATTAGGGTTAGGGTTAAGGTTAGGGTTAGGATGGGGGTTAGGGTTAGGGTTTGGGTATGGTTAGGGTTAGGGTTAGGGTTAGGGTTAGGGTTAGGGTTAGAGAAAGGGTTAGGGTTAGGGTTAAGATTAAGATTTGGTTAAGGTTAGGGTTAGGGTTAGAGCTAGATTTAGAGCTGGGTTATGTTTAGCATTAGGGTTAGGGTTATGATTTAGATTAGAGTTAGAGTAAGAGCTCAGGCTTGCGTTAGGGTTAGAGTTAGTGTTAGTGTTAGAATTAGGGTTAGAGTTAGGATTAAGGTTAGCTTTAAGGTTAGGATTAGGATTAGAGCTAAGGTAAGAACTCGGGCTATGGTTAAAGGTAAGGTTAGGGTTAAGGCTAGGGTTATATGTTAGGATTAGGGTTAGTGTTAGGGTTAGGATAAGGGTTAGAGTTAGAGCTAGTGTTAGGGTTAGTGTTAGGGCTAGTTTATAGCGTTAGGGCTACGGTTAGGGGTAGGGTTTAGATGAGTGTTAGGTTTAAGATTAGGGCTAGGGGTTAGGGTTAAGATTACAGTTAGGATTAAGGTTAGGGTTAGGGTTGGGGTTAAGTTAGGTTTAGGTTTAGGGTTAGGGTTAGATCTAGGGTTAAGGTTAAGATTAGGGTTGGGGTTGGGGTTAGGGTTAGGGTTAGGGTTAGGGTTAGGGTTAAGGCTAAGGTTAGGTTTAGGGTTAGGGTTAGGGTTAGTGTTAGGGTTAGGGTTTTGGTTAGGATTAGGGTTAAGGTTAGGTTTAGGTTTATGCTTAGGGTTAGTGTTAGGATAAAGGTTATGGCTAGAGTTTGGGTTAGGGTTAGAGCTAGGATTAGTGTTAGGGCTAGGGTTAACATTAGGGTTATCGCTAGAGTTAAGGTTAGGGCTAGGGCTAAGGTTTGGATGAGGTTTAGGATTAGGGTTATGGTTAGGGTTAGGGTATAGGGCTAGGGTTAAGATTAGGTTTAGGTTTATTCTTAGGGTTAGTGTTAGGATAAAGGTTATGGCTAGAGATATTTTTAGAGCTAGGATTAGTGTTAGGGCTAGGTTTAGAATTAGGGCTAGGTTTAGGGTTAGGGTTAGGGTTAGGGTTATAGCTAGGGTTAAGGTTAAGATCAAGGCTACGCTATTGGTTAGGTTTAAGGTTAGGGGTAGGGTTAGGGATAGGGTTAGGGATAGGGTTAGGGTTAGGGTTAGGGTTAGGGATAGGGATAGGATTATGGTTAAGGTTAGGGTTAAGATAAGGGTTAGGGTTAGGGTTAGGGTCAGGGTTAGATCTAGTCTTTAGTTTAGGTTTAGTTATCGTATTTGGGTTATGGTTAGGTTTAGGATTTGGGTTTAGGGTTAGGGATAGGGATAAGGCTAGGGTTAAGTTTAGGGTTAGAGTTAGGGTTAGTGTTAAGATAAGGATTAGGGTTAGGGTCATGGTTAGGTTTAAGGCTAGGGTAATTTTTAGCGTTAGAATTATGGTTATAGTTAGGGTTAAGGTTAGGGTTAGGGTTAGAGCTAGATTTAGAGCTGGGTTATGTTTAGCATTAGGGTTAGGGTTATGATTTATATTAGAGTTAGAGTAAGAGCTCAGGCTAGCGTTAGGGTTAGAGTTAGTTTTAGTGTTAGAATTAGGGTTAGAGTTAGGATTAAGGTTAGCTTTAAGGTTAGGATTAGGATTAGAGCTAAGGTAAGAGCTCGGGCTATGGTTAGGGCTAAGGTTAGGGTTAGGGCTAGGGTTATATGTTAGGATTAGGGTTAGTGTTAGGGTTAGGATAAGGGTTAGAGTTAGAGCTAGTGTTAGGGTTAGTGTTAGGGCTAGTTTATAGCGTTAGGGCTACGGTTAGGGGTAGGGTTTAGATGAGTGTTAGGTTTAAGGTTAGGGCTAGGGGTTAGGGTTAAGGTTACAGTTAGGATTAAGGTTAGGGTTAGGGTTGGGGTTAAGTTAGGTTTAGGTTTAGGGTTAGGGTTAGATCTAGGGTTAAGGTTAAGATTAGGGTTGGGGTTGGGGTTAGGGTTAGGGTTAGGGTTAGGGTTCGGGTTAAGGCTAAGGTTAGGTTTAGGGTTAGGGTTAGTGTTAGGGTTAGGGTTTTGGTTAGGATTAGGGTTAAGGTTAGGTTTAGGTTTATGCTTAGGGTTAGTGTTAGGATAAAGGTTATGGCTAGAGTTTGGGTTAGGGTTAGAGCTAGGATTAGTGTTAGGGCTAGGGTTAACATTAGGGTTAGGGCTAGAGTTAAGGTTAGGGCTAGGGCAAAGGTTTGGATGAGGTTTAGGATTAGCGTTATGGTTAGGGTTAGGGTTAGGGCTAGGGTTAAGATTAGGTTTAGGTTTATTCTTAGGGTTAGTGTTAGGATAAATGTTATGGCTAGAGATATTTTTAGAGCTAGGATTAGTGTTTGGGCTAGGTTTAGAATTAGGGCTAGGTTTAGGGTTAGAGTTAGGGTTAGGGTTATAGCTAGGGTTAAGGTTAAGATTAAGGCTACGCTATTGGTTAGGTTTAAGGTTAGGGGTAGGGTTAGGGATAGGGTTAGGGATAGGGTTAGGGTTAGGGTTAGGGTTAGGGTTAGGGTTAGGGTTAGGGTTAGGGTTAGGGTTAGGGTTAGGGTTGGGGTTAGGGTTAGGGTTAGGGTTAGGGTTAGGGTTAGGGTTAGGGTTAGGGTTAGGGATAGGATTATGGTTAAGGTTAGGGTTAAGATAAGGGTTAGGATTATTGTCATGGTTAGGTTTAAGGCTAGGGTTAAGGTTAGTGTTATGGTTAGAGCTAAGGTTATGGTTAGCGTTAGAGTTAGTGTTAGCATTAGGATTAGGATTGGAGCTAGTGTAAGAGCTCGGGCTAGGGTTAGGGTTTAGTTTATGTTTAGGGTTATTTAGGTTAGGGTTTAGGTTAGGGTTAGGGCTAGTATTAGGGTTAGGGCTAGGGTTAGGTTTAGGATTAGGTTTAAGGTTAGGGCTAGGTTTAGGGTTTTGGTTAGGATGTGGGAAAGGGTTAGGGTTAGGGTTATAGTTAGGGTTAGGGTTAAGGTTAAGGTTTGGTTAAGGTTAGGGTTAGGGTTAAGATAGGAGCTAGGGTTATGGTTAGGTTGAGGGTTAGGTTTAGGGTTAGCGTTAGGGTTATGGGTTAGGGTTAGGGTTAGGGTTCGGGTTAGGGTTCAGGTTAAAATTAAGGTTAGGTTTAGGGTTAGGGTTAGGGTTTTGGTTATGATTAGGGTTAGGGCTAGAGTTAAGGTTAGGGCTATAGCTAGGGTTTAGATGAGGTTTAGGATTAGGGTTAGGGTTAGGGTTAGGGCTAGGGTTAAGGTTAGGTTTAGGTTTATGCTTAGCGTTAGGGTTAGGTTTAGGGTTAGGGTTTAGGTTAGGGATAGGGATAGGGCTAGGATTATGGTTATGGTTAGTGTTAAGATAAGGGTTAGGATTATGGTCATGGTTAGGTTTAAGGCTAGGGTTAAGGTTAGTGTTATGGTTAGAGCTAAGGTTAGGGTTAGCGTTAGAGTTAGGGTTAGGGTTAGGATTAGGATTAGGATTGGATCTAGTGTAAAAGCTCGGGCTAGGGTTAGGGTTTAGTTTATGTTTAGGGTTAGGGTTTAGGTTAGGGTTAGGGTTAGGTTTAGAATTAGGTTTAAGGTTAGGGCTAGGTTTAGGGTTAGGGTTATGGTTAGGGTTAAGATTAGGGTTAGGGTTAAGGTTAGGGTTAGGATGTGGGTTAGGGTTAGGGTTTGGGTATGGTTAGGGTTAGGGTTAGGGTTAGGGTTAGGGTTAGGGTTAGGGTTAAGGTTAGGGTTAGGGTTAGAGAAAGGGTTAGGGTTAGGGTTAAGGTTAAGATTTGGTTAAGGTTAGGGTTAGGGTTAGGATAGGAGCTAGGGTTATGGTTAGGTTTAGGGTTAGGTTTAGGGTTAGCGTTAGGGTTATGGGTTAGGGTTAGGGTTTTGGTTATGATTAGGGTTATGGCTAGAGTTAAGGTTAGGGCTAGGGCTAGGGTTTAGATGAGGTTTAGGATTAGGCTTAGGGTTAGGGTTAGGGCTAGGGTTAAGGTTAGGTTTAAGTTTATGCTTAGCGTTAGGGTTAGGGTTAGGGTTAGGGTTTAGGTTAGGGATAGGGATAGGGATAGGGCTAGGATTATGATTATGGTTAGGGTTAAGATAAGGGTTAGGATTATGGTCATGGTTAGGTTTAAGGCTAGGGTTAAGGTTAGTGTTATGGTTAGAGCTAAGGTTAGTGTTAGCGTTAGAGTTAGGGTTAGGATTAGGATTAGGATTGGAGCTAGTGTAAGAGCTCGGGCTAGGGTTAGGGTTTAGTTTATGTTTAGGGTTAGGGTTTAGGTTAGGGATAGGGTTAGGTTTAGGAATAGGGTTAGGGTTAGGGTTTTGGTTAGGATTAGGGTTAGGGTTAGGGTTAGGGGTTAGGGTTAAAGTTAGGGTTAGGTTTAGGGTTAGGGTTAGTGTTAGGGTTAGGGTTTTGGTTAGGATTAGGGTTAAGGTTAAGTTTAGGTTTATGCTTAGGGTTAGTGTTAGGATAAAGGTTATGGCTAGAGTTTGGGTTAGGGTTAGAGCTAGGATTAGTGTTAGGGCTAGGGTTAACATTAGGGTTAGGGCTAGAGTTAAGGTTAGGGCTAGGGCTAAGGTTTAGATGAGGTTTATGATTAGGGTTATGGTTAGGGTTAGGGTTATGGCTAGGGTTAAGATTAGGTTTAGTTTTATTCTTAGGGTTAGTGTTAGGATAAAGGTTATGGCTAGAGATATTTTTAGAGCTAGGATTAGTGTTAGGGCTAGGTTTAGAATTAGGGCTAGGTTTAGGGTTAGGGTTAGGGTTAGGGTTATAGCTAGGGTTAAGGTTAAGATTAAGGCTACGCTATTGGTTAGGTTTAAGGTTAGAGATAGGGTTAGGGATAGGGTTAGGGTTAGGGTTAGGGTTATGGTTAGGGTTAGGGTTAGGGTTAGGTTTAGGGTTAGGGTTAGGGTTAGGGATAGGAATAGGATTATGGTTAAGGTTAGGGTTAAGATAAGGGTTAGGATTATGGTCATGGTTAGGTTTAAGGCTAGGGTTAAGGTTAGTGTTATGGTTAGAGCTAAGGTTAGGGTTAGCGTTAGAGTTAGGGTTAGCATTAGGATTAGGATTGGAGCTAGTGTAAGAGCTCGGGCTAGGGTTAGGGTTTAGTTTATGTTTAGGGTTATTTAGGTTAGGGTTTAGGTTAGGGTTAGGGCTAGTATTAGGGTTAGGGCTAGGGTTAGGTTTAGGATTAGGTTTAAGGTTAGGGCTAGGTTTAGGGTTTGGGTTAGGATGTGGGAAAGGGTTAGGGTTATAGTTAGGGTTAGGGTTAAGGTTAAGGTTTGGTTAAGGTTAGGGTTAGTGTTAGGATAGGAGCTAGGGTTATGGTTAGGTTGAGGGTTAGGTTTAGGATTAACGTTAGGCTTATGGGTTAGGGTTGGGGTTGGGGTTTTGGTTATGATTAGGGTTAGGGCTAGAGTTAAGGTTAGGGCTAGGGCTAGAGTTTAGATGAGGTTTAGGATTAGGGTTAGGGTTAGGGTTAGGGCTAGGGTTAAGGTTAGGTTTAAGTTTATGCTTAGCGTTAGGGTTAGGGTTAGGGTTAGGGTTTAGGTTAGGGATAGGGATAGGGCTAGGGTTATAGGTTAGGATTAGGGTTAGTGTTTGGGTTAGGTTTAGGTTAAGGGTTAAGGTTAGCGTTACGGTTAGGATTAGAATTAGAGCTAGGGTAAAAGTTCGGGCTAGGGTTAGAGCTAAGGATAGGGTTAGGGTTAGGGCTAGAGTTATTTGTTAGGATTAGGGTTAGTGTTAGGGTTAGGATAAGGGTTAGAGTTAGAGCTAGGGTTAGGGTTAGTGTTATGGATAGTTTAGGATTAGCGTTAGGGCTACGGTTAGGGTTAGGGTTTAGTTGAGTGTTAGGTTTAAGGTTAGGGCATGGGATTAGGGTTAAGGTTACAGTTAGGATTAAGGTTAGGGTAAGGGTTAGGGTTGGGGTTAAGTTAGGTTTTGGTTTAGGGTTAGGGTTAGAGCTAAGGTTAAGGTTAAGATTTGGTTTAGGGTTAGGTTTAAGGTTAGGGCTAAATTTAGGGTTTGGCTTAGGGTTAGGGTTAGGGTTAGGGTTTGAGTTAGATTTAAGGATAAGGATAGGGATAGGGATAGGATTATGCTTAGGGTTAGGGTTAAGATAATTGTTAGGATTATGGTCATGGTTAGGTTTAAGGCTAGTGTTATGGTTAGAGCTAAGGTTAGGGTTAGGGTTAGGGTTAGGGTTATGGTTCGGGTTAGGGCTAGGTTTATGTTTATGCTTAGGGTTAGTGTTAGGATAAAGGTTATGGCTAGAGTTAGGGTTAGGGTTAGAGTTAGGGTTAGGGTCATGGTTAGGTTTAAGGCTAGGATTAGCCTTACTGTTACGCTTATGATTAAGGTTAGGGTTATGGTTAGCGTTAGGGTTAGGGTTAGGATTAGGATTAGGATTAGGATTAGGATTAGGGTTAGGGTTAGGGTAGGATTAGAGTTAGGGTTAGCGTTAAGGTTAGGGTTAGGGTTAAGATTAGGGCTAGGGCTAGGGTTAGGGTTAGGGTTAGGGTTATGGTTAGGGTTAGAGTTAAGGTTAGGGTTAGGGTTAAGATTAGGGCTAGGGTTAGGGTTAGGGTTATGGTTAGGGTTAGGGTTAGAGTGAAGGTTAGGGTTAGGTTTAGGGTTATGGTTAGGATTAGGGGTTAGAATTAGGATTAGGGTTAGGGTTAGGGTTAGGGTTAGGGTTTGGGTTAGGATTAGGGTTAGGGCTAAGTTAAGGTTAGGGTTAGGGCTATTGCTAAGGTTTAGATGAAGTTTAGGATTAGGGTTAGGGTTAGGGTTATGGTTAGGGCTAGGGTTTAGGCTAGGTTTAGGTTTATGCTTAGGGTTAGTGTTAGGATAAAGGTTATGGCTAGAGTTAGGGTTAGAGATAGGGTTAGTGTTAGGGCTAGGTTTAGAATTAGGGTTGCTAGGGTTTAGATGAGGTTTCGATTTAGGTTTACGGTTAGGGTTTGGGTTAGGGTTAGGGTTTATAGTTAGGGTTAGGGATATGGCTAGAGATAATTTTAGGGTTAAGTTTGGGGTTAGGGTTTATAGTTAAGGTTAGGGATAGGGCTAGAGATAAGGTTAGGGTTAGGTTTAGGGTTAGGGTTAGGGTCAGGGTTAGATCTAGTGTATAGTTTAGGTTTAGGTATCGTATTTGGGTTAGGGTTAGGTTTAGGATTTGGGTTTAGGGTTAGGGATAGGGATAAGGCTAGGGTTAAGTTTAGGGTTAGGTTTAGGGTTAGAGTTAGGGTTAGTGTTAAGATAAGGATTAGGGTTAGGGTCATGGTTAGGTTTAAAGCTAGGGTAATTTTTAGCGTTAGGATTAGGGTTAGAGTTAGGGTTATAGTTAGTGTTAAGGTTAGGGTTAGGGTTAGAGCTAGAGTTAGAGCTGGGTTATGGTTAGCATTAGGGTTAGGGTTAGGAATTAGTTTAGAGTTAGAGTAAGAGCTCAGGCTCGTTAGGGTTAGAGTTAGGGTTAGTGTTAGAATTAGGGTTAGAGTTAGGGTTAGCTTTAAGGTTAGGATTATTAATAGAGCTAAAGTAAGAGCTCGGGCTAGGGTTAGGACTAAGGATAGGGTTAGGGCTAGGGTTTTAGGTTAGGATTAGGGTTAGTGTTTGGGTTAGGTTTAGGTTTAGGGTTACGGTTAGGATTAGAATTAGAGCTTGGGTAAAGGTTCGGGCTAGGGTTAGAGCTAAGGATAGGGTTAGGGTTAGGGCTAGAGTTATTTGTTAGGATTAGGGTTAGTGTTAGGGTTAGGATAAGGGTTAGAGTTAGAGCTAGGGTTAGGGTCAGTGTTATGGCTAGTTTAGGATTAGCGTTAGGGCTACGGTTAGGGGTAGGGTTTAGTTGAGTGTTAGGTTTAAGGTTAGGGCATGGGATTAGGGTTAAGGTTACAGTTAGGATTAAGGTTAGGGTAAGGGTTAGGGTTGGGGTTAAGTTAGGTTTAGGTTTAGGGTTAGGGTTAGAGCTAAGGTTAAGGTTAAGATTAGGGGTAGGGTTAAGGTTAGGTTTAGGGTTAGGTTTAAGGTTAGGAAATTTAGGGTTTGGCTTAGGGTTAGGGTTTGAGTTTGAGTTAAGGATAAGGATAGGGATAGGGAAAGGATTATGGTTAGGGTTAGGGTTAAGATAAGGGTTAGGATTATGGTCATGGTTAGGTTTAAGGCTAGTGTTATGGTTAGAGCTAAGGTTAGGGTTAGGGTTAGCGTTAGGGTTAGGGTTCGGGTTAGGGCTAGGTTTATGTTTATGCTTAGGGTTAGTGTTAGGATAAAGGTTATGGCTAGAGTTAGGGTTAGGGTTAGAGATAGGGTTAGGGTCATGGTTAGGTTTAAGGCTAGGATTAGCCTTACTGTTACGCTTATGATTAAGGTTAGGGTTATGGTTAGCGTTAGGGTTAGGGTTAGGGTTAGGATTAGGATTAGGATTAGGGTTAGGGTAGGATTAGGGTTAGGGTTTAGGTTAGGGTTAGGGTTAGGGCTAGTATTAGGGTTAGGGCTAGGATTAGAGCTAGAGTTAAGGTAAAGATTAGGGTTTGCGTTATGGTTAGGTTTAGGATTAGGTTTAAGGTTAGGGCTAGGTTTAGGGTTAGGGTTAGGGTTTTGGTTAGGTATAGGGTTTTGGCTAGAGTTAAGGTTAGGGTTTTGGCTAGAGTTAAGGTTAGGGTTAGGGCTAGGGTTTAGATGAGGTTTAGGATTAGAGTTAGGGTTAGGGTTATGGCTAGGGTTAAGGTTATGTTTAGGTTTATGCTTAGGGTTAGTGTTAGGATAAAGGTTATGGCTAGAGTTAGGGTTAGGGTTAGAGATAGGGTTCATGTTAGGGCTAGGTTTAGAATTAGGGTTAGGGCTAGGGTTTAGATGAGGTTTCGATTTAGGGTTAGGGTTAAGGTTTATAGTTAGGGTTAGGGATATGGCTAGAGATAAGATTAGGGTTAAGTTTAGGGTTAGGGTTAGGGTCAGGGTTAGATCTAGTGCTTAGTTTACGTTTAGGTTACGTATTTGGGTTAGGGTTAGGTTTAGGATTTGGGTTTGGGGTTAGGGATAGGGATAAGGCTAGGGTTAAATTTAGGGTTAGGTTTAGGGTTAGAGTTAGGGTTAGTGCTAAGATAAGGATTAGGATTAGGGTCATGGTTAGGTTTAAGGCTAGGGTAATTTTTAGCGTTAGGATTAGGGTTAGGGTTAGGGTTAAGGTTAGGGTTAGGGTTAGAGCTAGAGTTAGAGCTGGGTTATGGTTAGCATTAGGGTTAGGGTTAGGATTTAGATTAGAGTTAGAGTAAGAGCTCAGGCTAGCGTTAGGGTTAGAGTTAGGGTTAGTGTTAGAATTAGGGTTAGAGTTAGGGTTAGCTTTAAGGTTAGGATTATGATTAGAGCTAATGTAAGAGCTCGGGCTAGGGTTAGGACTAAGGATAGGGTTAGGGCTAGGGTTATAGGTTAGAATTAGGGTTAGTGTTTGGGTTAGGTTTAGGTTTTGGGTTAAGGTTAGCGTTACGGTTAGGATTAGAATTAGAGCTAGGGTAAAAGTTCGGGCTAGGGTTAACATTAGGGTTAGAGCTAGAGTTAAGGTTAGGGCTAGGGCTAGGGTTTGGATGAGGTTTAGGATTAGGGTTATGGTTAGGGTTAGGGTTAGGGCTAGGGTTAAGGTTAGGTTTAGGTTTATGCTTAGTGTTAGTGTTAGGATAAAGGTTATGGCTAGAGATATTTTTAGAGCTAGGATTAGTGTTAGGGCTAGGTTTAGAATTAGGGTTAGGGCTAGGGTTAGGGTTATGGTTAGGGTTAGGGTTAGGGTTAGGGTTACGATTGGGGCTATGGTTTTGGTTATATTTAGGGTTGGGTTTGAGTTAGGGTTAGGGTTAGGGTTATGGGTTAGGGTTAGGGTTAGGGTTAGGGTTAGGGTTAGGGCTAGTGTTATGGGTTAGAGTTAGGGTTAGGGTTAGGTTTAGGGTTAGGGTTATGGTTAGGGTTAAGATTAGGGTAAGGGTTAACGTTAGGGTTAGGGTTAGGATGTGGGTTAGGGTTTGGGTATGGTTAGGGTTAGGGTTAGGGTTAGAGTTAGGGTTAGGGTTAGGGTTAAGGTTAGGGTTAGGTTTAGGATTGGGGCGAGGGTTATGGTTAGGTTTAGGGTTAGGTTTAGGGTTAGGGATAGAGTTATGGTTTAGGGTTAGGGTTCCGGTTAGGGTTCGGGTTAGGGTTATGGTTAGGGTTAGGGTTAGGGTAAAGGTTAGGTTTAGGTTTATGCTTAGAGTTAGGGTTAGGGTTAGGGTTTTGGTTAGGGATAGGGATAGGGATAGGGCTAGGATTGGGGTTAAGGTTAAGTTTAGGTTTAGGGTTAGGGATAGGGTTTTGGTTAGGATTAGGGTTATGGCTAGAGTTAAGGTTAGTGTTAGGGCTAGGGTTTAGATGAGGTTTAGGATTAGGGTTAGCGTTAGGGTTAGGGTTAGGGCTAGGGTTAAGGCTAGGTTTAGGTTTATGCTTAGGGTTAGTGTTAGGATAAAGGTTATGGTTAGAGTAAGGGTTAGTGTTATAGATAGGGTTAGTGTTAGGGCTAGGTTTAGAATTAGGGTTGCTAGGGTTTAGATGAGGTTTCGATTTAGGTTTAGGGTTAGGGTTTGGGTTAGGGTTAGGGTTTATAGTTAGGCTTAGGGATATGGCTAGAGATAATTTTAGGGTTAAGTTTGGGGTTAGGGTTTATATTTAAGGTTAGGGATAGGGCTAGAAATAAGGTTAGGGTTAAGTTTAGGGTTAGGGTTAGGGTCAGGGTTAGATCTAGTGTTTAGTTTAGGTTTAGGTATCGTATTTGGGTTAGGGTTAGGTTTAGGATTTGGGTTTAGGGTTAGGGATAGGGATAAGGCTAGGGTTGAATTTAGGGTTAGGTTTAGGGTTAGAGTTAGGGTTAGTGTTAGAGCTAGGGTTAGTGTTAGGGCTCGGTTTAGAATTAGGGTTAGGGCTAGGGTTTAGATGAGGTTTCGATTTAGGTTTAGGGTTTGGGTTAGGGTTTATAGTTACGATTAAGGTTAGAGTAAAGGTTAGTGTTAGGGATAAAGCTAGAGTTATGGTTAGAGCTAGGGTTAGGGTTAGCTTTAGAGTTAGGTTAGGATTAGGATTAGGATTAGAGCTATTGTAAGAGCTCGGGCTAAGCTTAGGGTTTAGTTTATGTTTAGGGTTAGGGTTTAGGTTAGGGTTAGGGTTAGAGCTAGTATTAGGGTTAGGGATAGGGTTAAAGCTAGGGTTAAGGTTAAGATTAAGGCTAGGGTTATGGTTAGGTTTAGTGTTAGGTTTAAGTTTAGGGCTAGGTTTATGGTTAGGGTTAGGGTTAGAGT